CATGCCGGAGGGGCTGAGCCCGCCTGCGCCATCGAGCCAGGTCTCCTGGCGCCGGGCAGCTGCTGGTGCCAGGCAAACCGACCCAGCCAGTCCTGCCAGCCCCACGCAGCGTGGGAAGGGAAGTCAGCACTGCTGCCAGCAAGCCGAGTTGGGAGTGCTGGGATTTGCTGGGCAACACACAGTGCCAGGGGCTTGGTAGGGCTGGGGGGTCCCGCTGGGCTCATCCAGGCTCTGGCTCCCTTTGCCCCTGGCTCTATAGGGAGTTCTGGCCAAGCAGTTCTCCTCCTTAAAGCCTGCACAGCTAGCAGAGCCAGGATGAGAGGCCTGTTTCTGTGACTGTTGCTGCCTCCAGCTTCCCCACGCGTGGGTATGGGCTGGAGTGAAAGCAGGGATGGTGGGCATAGGGTTTGGATGCTCTCAAGGTGCGGGTTTGGGCAGGGAGCCCCACGGCATCAGGATGGGGCTGGCAGCAATGCCAGGCTCTGTAGGGCAGCAATGGGATAGACTGAGCTGGAGTTGGGCGTGGGGAGGACCTGGGGTGCCATTAGATGGAGTGAGTGCACTGAGTGTGCACAGTACTAGAGGAGCCATGCTCCCCGCAGCAGGGACTGCACTAGGATGGTTTTTTCGTCTGGTGCTCAGTGAGGAGGAGACACTGGGGGGACCCATTCACCCTTCTCAGAGCATGGTCAGGATGCTAAGTTAGGGATCCACGGTGGCGGGTGTCTGGGGTGACCTCTCCTTGCTTGCCCAGGGTCCACCCTTGATCTCAGCTGCCACATGGCCCCTGCCTTCATACAGGGGTTCCAGGCTGTCTGACTGAAGCTGGCTGGAGGTGATGCAGGTGTAACCAGAGCAGGATGCCCACAGGCAGGGGGCTACTGAATTATTCAGAGCGTCTCCTTGAATTCAGTGGGCTGGGGTGGCATGGCAGGGTCAAGCTAGACTATTGCCTCTGACTCCCATTCTGTCCAGGGTTGACGTTGGTGTACCCAGGCATGTAGAGGCATCTTTATAAAGCTCTGATTTCCCCCCAGGCTATTTAGGAGGGTGAGTCTGCTTCCCATCCCCTGGGTATTGAGTGCTGGATGGATCCCCATCTCAGCATGCACCCCAGGACAACTGTTTCCCAAAGCAGTGCCAGCCATGGGGTGGGAACAGAGCCCCAGAGGGCCCAGCACATCAGCTTCCGCCCACTGAGATAGCGACAGGGGCTGAGCTGTGAGCAGGATGGGGGACGCTGGGGACCCTACCTCTAGCCAGACCCTGGGTGTTTTGCCCAGGGAGGTGATTCCCGGGGTGTGGGGGTGTGGGGCAGACCCTGGGCTGGCACCAGCACAGCAGCCTTAGCCGGCATCGACTAAAAAGGAGAAGAGCGGAGGGCTGACGGCAGCGTTGAGGAATGCCTGTGCCTCCGAGTGCAGCTCCGTGTGTGCTGGGGGGCAGCTGGGATCTGTCGGAGTGTCCCCCACACCGGCTGCTGCTCTGGGGTGGTCCCACCCCCTGTCCCTGCTCAGGAGCGGATGTTCAGCACAGTGCTGAGGCAGGGGATCCCATGGTCATCCCTCGCCTGCACACGCTGGGGGGCTGCAGAAGGAGGGGGGTGTCCGTGCTTGGCTGCACTCCCAGCTGCTGTTCCTGGAGGGGGGCCAGGCCCCCAGCTCGCATGACAGGGTCAGGCTGGAGCCGGCTAAATATACAGTCTCATCTGAGTGCTGTGCCCCAACGGGGATGGGGTTCTCCTCCAGAGAAGTGTCAGCCGCCCTCAGGGCTTGTTTCCGGGTCAGCTACCCCATGCTGGTGGGGTCTGCATAGGTGGTACTATCCCAAAAAAGCCCTCTTTGGTGCACCCCAATCCAGCACCTACCTGTTCTTGCAGCAGGGCTGGAGGCTCAGCTTGCAGGAGCTGCTGTTGCCTCTCCAGAAGGGCTGGGCAGTATGCCACGGTAGGGGGACCATGGCAAATGGGGTGCCCCAGGGAGGGTGGGGATGTGTGTCATTGGCACTGGGGGTCCTTGAGGTTCTGCTGTGCTGGGAGAGCCCCCCTCTAGCCCCAGAATGCTCCATGCCTTGGCCATGTGGGATGCTTGGCTCTTCCCTCTAGGGCTGGTGTGGGTGCCAGGTATAGGCTGGTGCCTGGGGTGGCTGCAGAGACATGTGGGGCTCAGCCACCCCTGCACCCCCTCCAGGTGCGGCACCGCCAGTCAGGGCAGATCATGGTGCTGAAGATGAACAAGCTGACCAGCAACCGGGCCAACATGCTGCGGGAGGTGCAGCTGATGAACCGCCTCTCACACCCCAACATCCTCAGGTAGGACCTGCTCCCCTGCTGCCATCCCCATTATCCCCTTTTTCCTTAACCTGAGGGGTTTGGAGCTACTGCCGACACTGGATGAGCTCTTGGGGATAGTCCCTACTGTGGCCACCTTCAGGTCCCCTCTGTCTCGCAGGTTCATGGGGGTGTGTGTGCACCAAGGACAACTGCATGCGCTGACGGAGGTGAGAGCGGGGCAAGAGCCGTGAGCCTTGGGGTTCCTGCAGGCCTGGGGAGGGGCAGTGGTGGCTGTGGGGATGCTTTCTCTGCCTATAGCACATGTGCAGAGCAAGGTCTACTGGGGGACTGTGCCATAGGGTGGTTGAGGGATGCACTGGGATGAAAGGTGGGTATCCAGTGTTACAGGAGGAAGGTGGGAGCATAGTGATGTGATCATCTGGTTCTTCCTATCAGTACATCAATGGTGGGAACCTGGAGCAGCTGCTGGACAGCCCTGTGCCCTTGTCTTGGTCCATGCGTGTCAAGCTGGCCCTCGACATTGCCCGTGGCCTGCGCTACCTACACTCCAAGGGCATCTTCCACCGTGACCTCACCTCCAAGGTATGGAGTGCTCCCTTTGCCCTCATTGTCCCACACCCTGGTTGCTGCCCCAGGTCTGGCCAGCCAGGCAGCAGGAGGCTGTGCTGTGCCAGGGCATCCTGCAGGCAGTGGCTGGGCAGGCAGGGCTGGCACAAGAAGCCCTCATGTGTCCCCAGAACTGCCTCGTGCGCTGTGAGGCCAACGGCTACACTGCTGTAGTGGGTGACTTTGGCTTGGCGGAGAAGATCCCCACCTACAGGTGCGCAGGCAGTGTCCATCCCCATCCTTGGGGTGAGGGTGTTGCAGCTCACTTGGAGCAGAAGCTGGGAAGGGGTGAACATTTTGGGGCTGTAGCTAGAAGGGGAGGGATGGGGGCTGGTGGGGGCGGTCTTCAGCGGTGAGGACTCGGCAGCAGATGGACACATTTGGAGCTGGTTTGGAGGGGATGGAAAAGGGGATGGTGTGAGTGGGGAGAGTTGAGTATGTGGGATACGTGGAAGATCTCTCGGAAAGGGAGATGGAGATCTGGGCTGCTCCAGCAGGAGGCTGGGTGGCAGGAAAGAGGCAGGGGGCTGCAGGCAGCCCCTGATGTCCCATCATGTCCCCCAGCGAGGGTAGCGAGAAGGAGCCGCTGGCCGTGGTGGGCTCCCCGTACTGGAAGGGGCCCAC